AAAACTATTCATGCTAATCCGTTGTGGAGGCGTAGAAGTATGAAGCGAGTTGGAAACATGGCGTCTGGAGTAATAACGCAGAAATCCTGGATTACATAAAGTGATAGAATAAATGGAAGACAAATAACGTACCACGCATGCGATTGTGCAGTTAAATATACTTAATATTAGAAGACAGAATTTGCTTGCTTATACACGTGCGGTTAATGACCAGAGGATTCATTGACTTAAATTATCAGAGTGGAACAATTCTTCAGATGACGTTGGTAGATTGAACGGCAGGTTTCAGGAAGTAGTTCTAGTTTATTAACGATTTTTCGAGTGCAACAAACATTCATTTTCAAGTTACAAGAAGCAATAAATATTGACATTTTGGTGAAAATAAGTACACAATATGGGTGAATAGGATGTAACAGTAAAATTTTGAGCCAGAGAAATCACTCTGAAAACTCTCTCAGAGTTCAGACAAATCCAGCAGTTAGGAGACAGGTAGCTGGAGTGCGTAGAGATGAGTGGTTCAGCTATCATCGGTCGGTTGATGTCAGGCCGCTGCTTGAGCGAACCTAGCGATTTATTGTATTGTAGCAACGACCGCTGACAAGCAGTGGTCCGATCGAGTCCAGCTATCTCCTAACTGCCGGATTTGTCTGAACTCTGAGAGAGCTTTCGCAGTGATTTCTCTGATTCAAAATTTTACTGTTATATTCTATTCACGCATATTGTGTAGTTATTTCCACAAAATATTTAATATTTAATGCGTCTTGTAACTCGAAAATAAATGTTTGTTGCATTCGAAACGTCGTTGATAAACTAAAACTACTTCCTGAAATATGCCATCCGATATACCAACTTAATCTGAAAAATTGTTCCACTCTTCGACAATTTAAATCAATTGTACTTAATACAATACGTACGAAGTAAAGGCAAGCCTATTAATAGCCGCATGTTATATACTACATGCATACGGATATTTACAACTGAGACATGAACAATGTGGCTGCATGCAATAATAGTACGGCAAAAGGGATTAAAACATGCATTTAAATGCAATTGGCATTCACAATACGTCTGCTACTTACAATACGGTTAATGGTATCATGCAGTATAGTGCAATAATCAATACAAGATACAAGTCAATGGTATTGAAATGAGCGAGTATACGAGGTTGACACGTTTTCATGTACCGCAAGTTCAACGAACAACACAGAACAAGTTTGAAAACAAAACCGGCGAGACCTAAAGAACAGGATTAGCTTGTTGCTCCAGGCCAACAACTTCAAGCGGCGAACTTGAAAACCCAGTTCAGGATTTCAAAAACTTGGAGAGAAAGAGTGTACGTTTTCCAGGAGCAGCGAAAATTTTGTTGATTTTAAAGTGCATTGGAATTTGAATATTTGGGAGTTAAGTTAATGAAATATTGATTGCGAATACATTTGTACATGGTTCACGTAACATGATAGGAGTTGGGCTTTTATGATGTTTGTTTGAAGGAATATTTTGGGCCAAAGAAGAGTGGAGAATGCATTGAGGGAACAAATTCTAAGGTATAGGGACAAATTCATTGGTATAGGGACAAACCATATGGTATAGGGAGAAATTAAATGGTATAGGGTCAAATCCTATGGTATAGGGAGAAATTCTTTGGTATAGGGACAAATTCTGTGGAATGTTGGAACATATTAAAATGAAAAGTTTAACTTTAACTGCATTATTATTTACCTCAAGAAATTACATTTCCTTTAATTTTCAGTCCTAAAATTAAGGTTGCCCAGCGATCGTTCCAACTTACGATGTATACGAGACCAACGACACCGGAAATGTTCTCTCCCTTATTCCATCTCAAATTCATCGAGCGACCGAATTGATTACTTATTAATATTTTAAAGACGATTAACAAATCAGCGCTTACATACAGTAGCGTTGGCGTAAACGCAAAATATATACATATTTTTGTCACTATAACTTCCAACAATTTCACAGCAAATTTGAGACCTTCATTTGATATAATTTACCAGAACAAGTTAATGGAATTATTGTGCATGCGTTTTGATGTTATATAGAAAACAAAACCTTCGCCAAGAACAAGACAGCACGAATATTTGAAAAATTTGTATATTATAAGAAGTGAAAGACATGAATAGAATATAAAAAAAAGTGTTTTAGCAGGTCAAGTTTTAGGTTGAAATGAAGCCTCCCATAGCCTGACGCACATTTCGTACACCACACGTCATCACGAAATACAAATTTCCACGATAACGACCCGAACAACAACGACACGAACGACATCACGAATAAGCGAACGAATATAGCAACTTACGAATCAAGAAACACGAATTAGATAAACTGAAAAATAAGGTAGAATAAAGAGAAGCGAAGTACCACAAAAATATCACTGAAATGGAGACAGCACGGAACAGTGATGATGACAGTGAATGAACTCGGGTGATGGTGACGAGAAAGTGGTGAGATCTCACATCATCTCATAAACATAACATAAAATATCGCCATATTTTCATTGTAAATGGCGATGCGATGGTTATCGACGATAACGTGTTTAATTTTCTTGGCTGTTATATACTTAGTTCAATTGTTATTAAAGCAAATGAATGAACTGCGATGACAATGAATGTGTGAGTGCGTGTGGTGTGTGCATGCGTGTGATTTTGCGTGTAGTGAAGGAGTGATGATCTAGCGTTGATTCTTATCAATAACTCATCATTGATAAATGTAAAAGCTAGCATAGACCAGTAGATGAAAAATAGTTAACTATAAAAGAATAATATTATAGAGAACTATAAATCACCAATATTACTAAATATGAATGATTAACATCAGTGAAAAATTAAAGACCAGCGAAGGCTGTGAGTTTGATCTGTAGTTATAGTTACTATCAACTAGCTCAACTGAAGGAAGCGTCTGAGTGCTTGCTTTGTTTGTGGTGAATCAAGCAATAAATTAACTAATACTTAAATAATAATTATTTAATGCAAGCAAGCAGCCAATAGTATTGAGAATATTTGAACTAAATTATAAATATTCCTGCGTGACTCACAGAGAAATGAGTGAGTCAAGACGTGACCGAAATTCACTGCATTCTCTAGCTATTTCCTGACATACTAACCCTCGGGGTGAGTCAGGTTGACCCAGTAGAGTGGATCATGGAATGAAAGTGTGTCATCTTGACTCACTCATTTCTCTGCTATAAGCACACGTCATCACTGTCATGTATTGCTAAGGAACACGTCCAGTCAAGAGCTCATCTATGCTACCGCTACAATGTCCTCGTCATGACAGGCCGCTACAGCAGCTACAGTTACTTGCGTAGCCTCAAGCATTGTTCACTAATTAACATCTTAAAAGGAAATATTTTATAAAAAGCTTAATTAATTATTGACCGAAATAATTAATGTTTATGCATCAAAATTGTAAAATTTTGTAATTACAAAGCAAGGTTTTCGAGACGACGATCAAAAGTTAGTGTGGAATGCTTGAAGCTTCGCCCAGTCCTTTAGCTCAGCTCGGCAAGTGCTTTAATAAAGCGATCAGTTCAAATAAGTAATTAATAATTAGAGGAATGCATTCCCCTCACTAACCTGAGATCCTCACGAGGGCTAGACTAACTTAACCTCACAAAGCTTCACTTACGTCAGAGGTATGATCAGGAATAGGTTCTTATATTAATGGTATGATCAGTATTAGTTATTACTCTAATTACCAATGATGTCATGCCAATCGAATCTTTAGTAATCCTAACAATACCTAAATTGTTTTGGTAATTAGGTCTCCTGAACAAAATATGATATTATAGCTTTTAACTATCCCGAAATATCAATATATGTAATTTGATCTCGCGTTATCTGAAAAATACCGATATTATCCAGTCATTAGTTATCCCTAAATACCGACATTATTCAGTCAATAGTTATCCCGAAATACTGACATTATTCAGTCATTAGTTATCCCGAAATACCGTTATTATCCAGTCATTAGTTATCCCGAAATACCGATATTATCCAGTCATTAGTTATCCCGAAATACCGATATTATCCAGTCATTAGTTATCCCGAAATACCGATATTATCCAGTCATTAGTAATCCCGAAATACCGATATTATTCAGTCATTAGTTATCCCGAAATACCGATATAATTCATTCTTTAGTTATCCCGAAATACCGATATAATTCATTCTTTAGTCATCCCGAAACGCAAAAAAGGTTTAGTCCCAACTTTGTCCCAAATACCACCAAGCTTTGGTTGTTAGTTATGCAGAAAACCCCCCAAAATTTAGTTACAAGTACTTCTGAAACACTAACATTACTTCGTACAGCTTAACAACCCGCAGCAAACGTATGGTAATCTAAACGTAAAGTGATGATGTCAAGTTTTGGGCAGACGAGCTTGAGAGAGAAACTTAGAGAACCAGAACCTTACGCTAGAATTTACGGTGCTTGCACACGAGACAACTAGTGGCGGCCAGTGTCACCAGCACTAATAATAGTGCTATTGGCTACGTGTATAGGCGCTACTGGCCACGGAATGACCAGTGGTCGTTTACACAAGGCCAGCAGCACGGTAAACTGTGGCGGTTAGTATACAAGAGTTAAACTGGCCGCCACTTCTGGCCACGTGTACAAGCATCATAACACCTTAACACCCTAACCCGCGAGAAAGTCAGATCCTAACTCTGGAAGTTACACTCTAACTTGTGAGACAGTCAGATCCTACACTTAGAAAATAAGTGGGTCAGAATAACCCACTTAGCTTGAGGCAACGGCCTTTCCCGAGATAAATGCATCAGATTAGCTCACTATCAGTTTTTTTAGTCATAATGACCGAGCCGTGACACACTCACGTGAGTCACATCATACTCGCACACAGCCGTGACTCCCATAAGTAGATCACACTGACCCACTTATTTATCTTGACACAAAGGATGGTCCAGGAATAAGTATAGCACTAGTAGTATAGTACAGCAGTAGTAGTATAGTATAGCACTCACGATTTTGGGCTTGAAGGGCGGCTGGACTTCTCTGTTCTCGAGGCGCCCCCAGTCGATGCGGCGGTAGAACAAGTGCGTCCTGATGTCTTCCTCCCCCGTGGGCCCGCAGCCCAGCCTCTTAGCGGGCTGCTTCGTCAGCAGCTGACGGGAGGACAGTAATAAATTAATTCTAAAAATAAAACGGAATAAATTAAAAAGAAATCATGAACAATAACTGATCATCGGTAGGAATTTTTTCGGTCCTCAGATTCAATGAAAAAATTTCGAACACTAAAAGTCTTTCTGACTTCCATGAAAAAATATCATAAATAATAAGAAGAATGCCAAAAATATCGCTAATAAACTCAAGCAGAGGTCTTTAGAATCTTTGCAGAGGTTCATTAGATTCCTTTTAGACGACCTTAGACTCCTTTCAGAAGGGCTTAGGGAAGGAGTCCTAATGTATAAAACGCCACCACCACCTCACGCTCTTGCAGAGGTCCTTGGAGAGGGACTTAGGATAAGAGTCCTATAATGTATGAAATACGATCAATGACTCACTCCCTAACAGAGGTCCTAAGACTTGGAGTAGGACTAGCAATTCATACAACACAGTGAGTTACTCACGGCCTTGCAGAGGTCCTTAGCCTCCTTGGATAGCGACTTGAGGTAGGAGACGCCATTTAACAAGGCAATATACTCACGCCCTTGCAGAGGTCCTTACTCTCCTTCGACAGGGACTTTGGGTAGGAGACGCAATGTAACAAGGCCTTCTACTCACGCCCTTGCAGAGGTCCTTAGAGCACTGGATGATCTGGGATACGGAAGGAGTACTAAGAGAATGGTTGTAGTGGGTAATGATCTGCTATATGTAGGGAGTGGTACAATGGTGTTAGGGAATTGAAACTACAGATTTCAAGAGAGTGTTTTCGGAAGTGTCTTTCATTGCAAGCCTTTGTTGGGGTCCACGTTAAAGTACTATAAGTACGGCTGGACGAACCTGGACAACCCCAGCAATGGTACCAAGATCAGGAATGGTAGTAGATGATATGCACCACGTACCAATTTGTGTACTACTACCAAGTCCATCAGTGGTACCGTAAGGTTCAGTACATCTTATAGTCGATTCTGGTGTATCAAAGCAGCAGATTGTTTATTCCAAATAATGTAGCACCAATAATTATCTATTGAATGAAAACAACAATTTATTAAACCTTGTTCAATAAATCGTGTCCGAATGACCACTCCCACCGGCGGTTAAGACAAGAAAAAATTGCGTCACGATGTTGTGTATTGAGCGAAACAAACTGTCTTAAAATTTTTTCACGTCTATGAATGAGGAAAAACCAGAACGGAGGCTGTGGGCTTGTCAAGTAGAACGTTGATAAGTTCAACATTTTCCTGGGAGCAGTAAAGTGTATAAACCTTTGGTAACGCGTTGGTGTTGAATGAAGAATTAAGTTAGGAACTGGAGTATATTAGAGAAAAACTTCTGAGCGAAAGACATAAACAAGTTGAGTTGAAGGCGAGTCGAAAAAATAATTTGAAATGTGAACGATGCATTAGTGAAAAATATAACTCAGGACTGACTGCAGTGAGTGTCAGAGAGAGAGCATTTTCTCATCGACAAAAACGTGAAGTTACGGACATACGGACGGACAGAAAGACGGACAGAAAGACGGACATGACGAGCACATAAGCGCCTTTTTTCCATAAATGAGAAAATGAGCTAAAAATGAATAATTTTATTTTTTTAAAGAAGAATAAGTAAATTCAGCAAATTTTCAATAAAACCGTAGAGGCCATTCATCAGTTCATCCAGCTAGTGTACGATATGTTTCCACTGAATATATGTTAAATGATTTTTTTTCATTTAAATTCTTGGAAAGCAGTCGTTCTAAGCAGACTAATGGTATAAACATTTCAAACGTCAATGATGCATCAAATAAAATTGATTTCATTTTACAAATAGATAATGGTAACCACAGGTGCTATGCATGTTTGAATTAATACATGTATGTATTAATTCAACCATGGGTACTTATGTATTCCGGAGTTATACTCTTAGCTTCTAAATTTCATATGAACTTGCGATTTAAGCAGACTATTTACATAAGTATTCCAAATATTAATAATGTATGATATAAATTTGGTTAAATTTGCTAGATAATGACCTTGGGTGCAATGAAGTCCGGAGTTCCACTCTAATATTCTAATATTTTATGTGAACTTGCGATTTAAGCAGACTCTAAATACTAATGATATATTAAATAAAATAGCTTCAATTTCCTAAAAAGATAATAACCTCGGCGCGATGTAGTCCGGAGTTCCACTCTTTTCTTCTAAATTTTATGTGAACTTGCGATTAGGGCAGACTCTAAATATCAATGAATTATTAAATAAATTTTGTTAAATTTCCTAGACAATGACCTCAGGCGCAATGTAGTCCGGAGTGCCGCAGAAAGTCTTGGTTGTTGTGTCGCCAGAAATTCCTTCCTTGCACATGCCGAAGTCTGCTATCTTGACGTGACCGTCCTGGTCCAGCAAGACGTTGTCAAGCTTCAGGTCGCGGTAGATGATGTTGCGCGAGTGCAGGTAGAATAAACCGATGGCGATCTCCGCTGCGTAGAACCTTCGGCACAAAGTAGGTCGTTAGAAATTAAAAAGTCAAAATAATCCGACAAAAAATCACCATATTGTTGAATACTTTCCCAGTTATGAAACGAAAAGTCGGTCAAAAATACGTGATAATGATAAGAAACGAATGAAGTAGAATTATCACGAAAGCTACGCACTAGGTAGGAATAACATATAAATAAGAAATATGCATGGAGCTTTTGAAAAGATTCAGCCAGTGACATACAAAGATACAGAAAGATCTGAACGACGTCGGTCAGGATTAGGCTATGTTTTATGTTAAGTTAGGTTATGATATGATAGGTTATGTTATGATAGGTTATATTATGGTAGGCTATTTTATGATAGGTTATATTATGGTAGGCTATTTTATGATAGGTTATATTATGATAGATTATGTTATGATAGGTTATGCTATGATAGGTTATGTTATGGTAGGCTATGTTATGATAGGTTATGCTATGATAGGTTATGTTATGATAGGTTATGTTTTGATAGGTTATGTGAGGATAAATTCTGTCCTGTTATATTATGCTAGGTTATGTTTCTAATGCTAGGTTATTTTATCTTAGATTTTGCTAGGTTATGTTACGTTTGTTATGCTACAGGTAGGTTATGTCATGTAAGGTTCTGCTAGCAGCTAGTATATAGGCGAAGCTAGGTTAAGGATAAATTGCGCTAAGTAATGCTAGGTTATGTTAGTTGAGTAGGTAGGTTATCACTCACACAGCGACGGGTTCCTTGAACTTGCCGCACTGTTGGATCTGGAACATCAGGTCGCCTCCGTTGACATACTCCATGACGAAGTACAGGCGGTCCTGTCAACACAAGACGTCTTCAATTGTGTTGACACTATACGGGGTGGATGCTGTTGACATCTTAGTACACAATAAACAAGTTGGTAAACATTTCAAAATGCTGAGTTAGCAACTAAATTACGAAATATATTGTTTCAAACTTAGGACTAATTAAGAAGTTGCTTTACGGTACTCATAATCCAGAACGCATATTATAACATTTATATTTTCTCTAGTGCTATACTGCTATTCGTACGACACTACCACAATTCTCGCGTTGTTGGAGCTGCTGTTGTTTTGGCTGCTCACTGGAGGAGTGCTTATACCGCGTGTCCTAATGCTATAGCTACGTACTAATGCTATAGCTACGGCGCTCACCATGGTCTGCAAGTGTCCTAATGCTATAGCTACGTACTAATGCTATAGCTACGTACTAATGCTATACCTACGTACTAATGCTATAGCTACGGGCTGACCATGGTCTGGAAGCAGGAGTGCAGCTGTACCAGGAAGGGAGGCTTGCCAGCGAGCGCGAGCACCCGCTTCTCTATCATGGTACACTCGACGTCATCGTCCTGGATGATGATGTCTTTCTTCAGGATCTTGATGGCGTACAGCTCGTCTGTGCCCTGCCATTTATATATAATTTACGTGAATTAAAGAAGATTAGCTGAGATAGAAAGTAAATGAATAAATAAATAAATTAAGGGAAATTTTTTAGAATGGGTATAACAATTACGTAAATGAAAGATAATTTTCCAAACGAAAAAGACTTGAAATTTTAGAAGTTGAGAGAATTTCAAAGTTCGAGTTTTTCAAATCGTGATTTATTATAGAAAATATTTCCTCAAACGTCGAACTTCCATAACAAGCATTTCCATAAAATCCCATGCGTCCGCGGCCTGACATCAAAACATTCTCAAGAAGGCCAAGAATTTCAAAGAAGCGAAATTTCTGAGTACAAAATTGTAGTGAAATCGCTATATATTCGTAATTCTTTCAAGTTTATTCATCTTAACCCGCCACATCTATCTTATTCACCGTAATTCACCACATACAGCTTAATCACCTTAACTCTCACAACTCTAATAAACCTTGGCAATTATTATTCCTATAATTATAATTTCAAAATTATTTTTCAAGTGTAATTCACTGAAATTATTACCGAAAAAATTCCCATATCACACTGACGCTCACAGCGTCCAATTATAACAACATTACCGGAGCTCAGCCTGCAGCTAATGTTCTTACGTCAGAAATTCACTAACAATTCGCTAAGTAATATTACTTAAAACATTTTCTTATTAAACTGCAGAATCTGGCAGCTAAATAATTATAAAGAATACAGAAAAAGCTGAAGTTTAGGCCTACGTTGCCTGCAGCGACAGCTTCTGTCGACCGCAGGCTGTTGGTGACAGCGGCTCACGTAGAGAAAAATATTCCTGATATAAATACCTGATATAGATAAATAGATGTAGTAAAAATATACCTCACATAGATACGTATAGACCTCAAAAAATATATAAACATGATTAAACTGTACATAACTGATTTAGGTATATACAGTGGGTGCAAAAAGCAAAAATTATCCGACACAAAGGAAAAACTTTGCGGAAAGGAAACATTAACTTTTACCAAATTGCAATTAATAAGTTAACATTTAATGATCTTGTTGTTGTTTTGCTATGATATTTGTATTTGCCATGCAAATTTAAATTAGAATTGCGTTTTTTATGTTATTTTGTTGAATAGGTCTTAATTAAATAAAGTTTGTCCTTTGTGTCGCATACTTTTCGCACCCATTGTACTATATATACCTGATTCAGATATATACCAGTCATATATATATATACCTGATGTATATAGATAGATCAGGGGTATATGAAAAAACATTTACCGGCGGCTAGCGCTTCAAGAACAAAGCGCAGTTAAGTTTATTGGAAGAAATCTTGAAGTTCATGTAGAATTTACTTGAATAATAAAAGATTTACTAAGAAAAATACCAGCAGCATCTTATAGCGGCCTTTTTAACGCACCTTTCTCTCAGCGAGCAGCACCTTATAGCAACCCTTTAACGCACCTTCCTCTCAGCGAGCAGCACCTTATAGCAACCCTTTAACGCCCCTTTCTCTCAGCGAGCAGCACCTTATAGCATCCCTTTAACGCCCCTTCCTCTCAGCGAGCAGCACCTTATAGCCTGTCTCTTATACACATCTAGATGTGTATAAGAGACAGGTNCAACACCTTATAGCTACCCTTTCACGCACCTTTCTCTAAGCGAGCAGCACCTTATAGCAACCCTTTAACGCACCTTTCTCTCAGCGAGCAGCACCTTGCCAAAGGACCCCTTTCCAAGCACCATCAACATGTTGAAGTCGGTAGCGCGGATCACGTCTCGCTTGGACATGTTCGACGGCACGTCGTTGGGTACAGCAGGCGCCACGGGACGCTTGTTGATACTCAGCGTCTGGGCGAGGTAACAAAGTTCATTATTGATATTTTTATTAAACAATATCAGTTAATAATGTCACTTTGAAGAAAGCAGTTAAATGGTGTGTGATAACAACACGCTTTCCCTCACCATTAACGGGCGTCAGAGTGTGATAACGAAAAGTTATTTTCTTTATATTTGTTATACATTATCAGTCTAGGTAATGCACTATAATAGTCGTTACTTTTACTAAAGAATATCAGTCGAGATAATGCATTATTGTGGCGTGTCATTACATAGCGCTTCCATCTTCAATAATAGGCGTCTGGTCGTGGTAAATAGCGTCTTAATTTCGTAACGCAAGGTTTACTTTTGTTGCCTTCATTATATAGGATCACTTTAGTTAAAAATATCAGTTTAAATATTGCAATTGAGTGGTGTGTGGTAAGACGCTTCCCTAAACCATTAATCGGTGTTTAGTAGTCGTAACAAAAGGTTCACTTTCGTGAGTTTTAGTGCAGAATATCAGTTTGAGTGATGCACTATGATGGCTTCATCTCACAACGTTTTCCATCACTATATATCAACGGAAATAGTGTGGAAGCTTGAATACTTTGTAACCTGTACGATTAGAGATTACTATCTTCAAGTTCACGGGCAATCGGATTTTAAATGAGATTATCAGATTATCATAAGCTATCAATCATATCATAAGCTATCATTATAGATACCTATACGTATTATAAATAACAATATGTTGAAGGAGTTGCGCAGGATTGTTTACTGACCAAATAATCTGCTTATGAAAAATATAATTCGGTGATGTTATTGAATTAAAAATATTGTCTCAACAGATTTTATTTTTCGAAATAACAAATACAACCATATTTTATCACAAATATTAAAAAGTTTATGCTATGGGGCATCGTTAGGGCATCAGATTCAGTATTTTATCAAATATTCATTAGGAAGCTTGGCATCACCGACAATAGTTCAAGTGAGGCATGCGAATTCATCATTTAAGTTGTCTTTGTTTTATTATTACACACCTGGTAACATTACTATCATTTTTTCTCTGGTATCGTCGCAAGTGTGATGAACTCTGTGGTGACATCACAGCCATGCTGCCTATGAACCATACCACACAACACTATCCGTTGTAATACATTGTATGTATTGTGCTTCAATATAACATGTGCTGGAATCCAACTCATGCGATTCCCATGACGCGATTCCCATGATGCAATTCCTAAACTGACGCCGCGATTCCTATGCCTTGATTCTAAAACTTACACGATTCCTAAACTTATGAGATTCCTAAACTTACGCAATCCCTAAAGTTACTCGATTCCAAAACTGATACGATTCCTATGACGTGATTCCCATTCAGATGCAAATTTCTACACTGACACGATGCCAAAACTGATGCTATTCGTAAACTGACGCGTAAACAGATAGTAAAGTTCCGGAAAAAGGGATTAAAATTTAACATGGATCTTAAGAGTCAGGAAGCTGTAAAAAATTCATATAAAATAATACACATAAAAGGATGACACGAAAAAAGTTGAAGTTACCGCTCTGAAGTGTAGATATAATTTAAAGGCAGACATAAAGTTTACATTAAAGGCATCGAACAATAAAGATAAGTAGGAGTCAATTTAGCGAAGTAGAAGCCAATGGAGCAAAGTAAGAGTCGATTTGTTAGGTAGGAGTCGATATAGTTAATTAGGAGTCGATATAGTTAAGTAGGAGTAGATATAGTTAAGTAGGAGTAGATACAGTAAAGTAGGAGTATATTTAGTTAAGTAGGAGTAGATATAGCCTACACAGTGATAGACACAACCGGCGCCTTAAAAATTACACGTTAAGAAATTACAATAAAAATAAAAACAAAAAGAAAATTTGGAGACAGTGAACATGAAAATGAACGTGAAAAAAGTATAAAGTGCAAGGGGGATAACCTATCTAGTCTCCGGAGAATGATCTAAGTGGTTCGTTGAAATATTATTAGTGCTATTATTATTATTATTATTAATATTATTATTATTATTATTATTACTGAAATTAAGGGAAGGGGCAGTCTTGACGAACTGAGGGACGAAGCATGCGTTGACATGAGACTGAGGGACGAGGTACGTGAGACTGAGGACGAGGTACGTGAGACTGAGGGACGAGGTACGTGAGACTGAGGGACGAGGTACGTGAGACTGAGGCTGGCGAGACAGAACTTGGTATCGCAACGTACACGTATCCGTAAGTTTATATACACCGGCAGTTACCTTCATTCTCTCTTCAGCTTCCGCCTCCTTTTGGTGTCAAAGAAAGCAAAAATTTACTCAACAACTTGAAGAAAATGCGAGCAGAATTTACACTCAGAGAAATGAGCAGACTTTGTCCAAATAGCGACGCACTTTTTGCTTTTGTGTGGATCATCCTGACCCAGTTTGGCTTGTCAGAAGAGCGTATCAGAGCTACGTGCAGGGAGTGTGTCACTATTTGGGCAATATGACTCAATTTTTATGAATTGAGAGGAAATAAAATAGTAGTGTAGGAAAAATAATTCAGGAGAAGGAATTTCTGATAAAGTTATAATAGAGACGAAGGGAAGGAAGCATGACGATGAGGAGAGCAAGGAGAAGGTAATGGAGTTCATCCATTTTAATGTCAGAAAAAGAGGCTAAACAAACCATTAAAAAATAAAAAATAAATCTTGCTGGTCGTCGTTTACTAGTAAAGTTTTATTTTCTTAGTCGCTTTACTGAAAAAACAGAAGCTGAACAAATGAATGCATGGATGTCAACTGCGAATTGCGCTTCTAAATGAGGTAAGATAGTGACTTAAGAAATCGTGTTTTTACGGCTACAATAACGGAATATTCGCGAGAGATACGAACTATTGCAACAAGCAAGAAAATAGTACAAAAGAAGCTACAAATGCGTACAGCATGTCGCCAAATGATCAACCTAGTTACCGCACAATATTATTTCAACACAGGACGTCAAATAGCAAGGTGAAAGTATATAATTTACTCAAAGGTTATTGAAGACATCAAAAAATATGTAAGATACAGCCGATTGAAGTTGATTTTACACTCTGTAAACCAATACATGACTCAGGCTGAGAAATTTCTGAAAGTAGGTATTATATAATTTAAAGGACTATTACGAAGACACCACTAAATTATGAACAAAGCCTCTTCTTGAACTCTCATAAGCTTTAATAACTGTGGGTAGGAATCACGAATATTTCCCTGAGGATCTCACCGAAGCGAAACTACCCTTACTCAAGCCTATATAGTACCATGAGGGTAGAGAACCTGAATTAATTCAAGTTACCATGAGGTACAAGTACCTGAACTCAAGCTCAGTACCATGAGGGTTAAGTACCATGAAGGCTAAGTACCTTGAACTTCTCCTTGAGTTTGGCGATGTCGGTGCCCTCAGGTGGTACCATGACGTTGTAGTACTCGCCCTCTTGGTCCGTGAGCAGCCTGTACCATCCGTCCACGGGGTTCTTGATGATCTCGCTCACCTACCATTCAGAAAATCATCACTGGTGATAACCATCACTGACGTAAACTATTTATACTTAAATTAGAAATTAAATCCCAATAAAAATTTTTTATCGTGCGGCCGTTCATCAAATTTTTTCAATTAATATGCATTCGAATGTCAATACAACGCAGATGAAGGATGTCCCTGCAAAGAGGGAAGCTAAATTTGAACAATATCATCTGTTCTCCCTTTTGAAATGCATTACCCCAATCTTTTTTTGGGGGGGGGGGGATTTTCTCTACATTTCGAAAGAAGAGATTTATTCCCCCTGCCCCTGATCCCCATTGGGGAACTCACCCCAAAAGAGAGGGACCCCATAAAGTCGTTGCGGGAGGTGCGGTCCCAGTCCCAAACTTCGATCAGGAGGCGCCTGTCCTTGTCTTCAGGCTTCAGCTCCCTAATAAAGTTCACAGTTTCATTTGTCATTCATATTGATATTCTTTACCTGTATAAACTATATATTATAATTAATACGGCTCTAACTACGTTATCATGCATGTATATAAATGATAACATAAGAACTGCAATAAAATATTTTGTTGGGATACCTGTACATATTATCTTATCTACTATCGCAATAAAGAAAATGCGTTAATTGTTCCGAGAAAATTCCACGGATTTTACTACGAGTATTTAAGTATCTCATATACAAAGAACCATTCCGAGGGGATTGAAACAATACCACAAAAGAAAGAGTTTGAATGGAAATTTCGAAATTTCGATTCAATCAACATTTTCACTGAAATGTACTTTAGAAATACAATGAATGTGAAGATGACAATATTCTACAATAAATATTCGATTATTTTTGGCAGATTGCCTAGGAAAATAAAAGTGTGCTGGATACTTAAATAATATTTTGGTACGCAAACATATGACAACTATCATCACGTCTTTGATCAAATACAAATATGAATAAGAACATCACAAATTTGATCAAATATGAATGATGTGTAAGCTGAACATATGCATCGGATATTCAAGATGACACAAACAACACGGTAAGTGTTGATAGGCTGTGTATTTCATTGAAGTTATTTTGAGTGCTTTTATATTCTGCTATAATTAAAAGTGTTCAAAATTAATTTGTTAATAAAGAGAACGACACGCAGCGGGAAGTTGCATGCAAGAGAACGCATTTGCAGTGCAACAGAATTGTTTCAGTAAAAGCTTGCAGACGGCGACATATGCTATGAAGAAAAGCTACATTTCAGATCGAAAAAAAGAAATCGAAACTGTGACTGTCTCTGGCAAACAAAGTTCGGCGAAACTGCGACTGTCTCTGGCAAACAAAGTTCTGCGAAACTGTGAAACAAAGTTCTGCGAAACTGCGACTGTCTCTGGCAAACAAAGTTCTGCGAAACTGCGACTGTCTCTGGCAAACAAAGTTCGGCGAAACTGAGAACGTTGTACGGAGTGTCATCATAGACGCGATGCCATCAATGTGCGATATCTCAAACCTTTGTATACATTACGCGTCCTCATTGTTATTCATACCTAAGGCCACGTGACGTGAGTCAACGTCAGCAGACCAAAGGGTAAACAGATTTACATGAGATTATCTGACAATATAAATTCCTCTTCACTGTTAAGTAACTTTCCCCAAATTTGCACAAGTGATCTAACTGCTAGACCGCGGGAATTTATTATCTCACAGTCGCTCGATAGGAAAGGAACTTCTGCAATCGCAATTCATCAGTAAACATCATGAAAAAGTTTATAAAGAATTCTTAACGCCTTGGAACTGAAATTACACCAAATCTTTCAGAATTACATGTTCTTCAATGCTTAAACAAAAATGAGCATGTTAATTAACTTATTTCAAAATTTCATGTGTTTCAGAAATAGAACTGTGCCTATAACCAGACTAAAACCAGAAAAAATTCAAACTTTGTCAGGAAAACTCGAGTCAGAAAGTTTTCAGCTCGACGAGGGCTGTTTTTTTAGACAAATTACGCGTGAGTCTAAATGGGCGGATTAGCTCGAGAAGAATGGGGTCATTAGCCACTTCTAATGGAATAATTTTAATGGAGTTAAAGTCTAGACGCTGGAGAATAAAATTACCCGGAAATTGGGGAGTTTTTCACAACAACACAAACGTCGGCCTTAGGGGCGGGCAAGCCAGATGTCTGACGTTTAATTAAATGTTTTATGATGAATCATCGTTGAATTAAAAGTTTTTGTTGAATCATCGTTGAATTAAATGTTTTCATGTTGAATCATCGTTGAATGAAAAATTTTCAAGTTTAATCATCGTTGAATTAAATGTTTTAATGTTGAATCATCGTTGAATTGAATGTTTTAATTATGAATCATCGTTGAATTAAATGTTTTTAGGTTGAATCATCGTTGAATTAAATGTTTTTACGCTGAATAAAGGTTGAATTAAATGTTTTTACGCTAAATCATCGTTGAATTAAATGTTTTTACGCTGAATCAACATTGAGTTGAATGTTTTTACGTTGAATCAACATTGAATTAAATGCTTCTACGTAGAATCTACCTCAATTAAATGTTTTCACATTGAAGTATCGTTGAATTATGTTTTTTTTCCTTTATATCAACGATGGAATAAATGTTTTATCCATTAATAGACGTTGAATTTAATGTTTTTCATGGTATAAACGTTCAAATAAATGCTTTTTCCTTGAATATACGTAAATTAAACGTTAATTCGCCGTCGTTCGCCTCGTGTAAAGCCTCTATAACGCGCACAAAGCGAACATAAAACTGTCTTTCAATTCTTTCTTTCGAAGCAATAACATGAATTGCAGTTGCAATGAAACATTTCATTCTACAAAAAAATGAAACATTAAAAATATATTTTTAATATCAAGCAAGTGGTTTTAAAAATATTTGCTATATTTTTTATATCAAGCAAGTGGTTTTAAAAGATTAGTGGTCAACAACCACAAAAAATGTTATAGGATACCACATGCACTCCGATCGAGGCCATTGCAGCAAATTAGATTTTCGTGGTAATTAATAACGATACACCCAGGATAACCGAGCGCAAATACAAAAAAGTTTCAATACAAAATAATAAATTAGTAGGGAGTTCCTCAAAACTTGTTTACTTACAGCGACAAGGTCTCGTTCCATACAGGATTGAGCGAAGCCTTGATGGTTTTGGTCTTCATCTTCTTAACGTCGGCGCCCGGGATGAGTTTGATCTTCACGTAAGGATCGGACAGTCCGTTGGGATCCATTGGGATCAAGTTGCGGGCCTCGATCACTGCAAAAATACGGACAGAAAAAATTAAACTACACACTGTAAGAAAAATCACCGTTAAACGGTCTTACCCGTGTTCTAGAGGCCGCCGACTTTCGCGTTTTTCATTCCGTTTTTATTTAAATTTAACACTAGAAACCGGTACAAAATCTGAAAAAACGGATAAATGGTTTACTTTTACGTGGCGGCCGGCCACTAGAATGCCGGTGAGACCGTTTTTCTATCGTTTCTTCAAACAGTTGCATAGTGAAAGTTCACAAGCTAAAAATTTCCTTGATATTTGCAATTAATTTAATCTTATGAGATGAGCTGAAGCCTAATGAGCAGCTCATTGTGACGATGTATAGCGTCATAGGGCCAACACTAACACATGCAAGTCATTCATACAAACACAGAAACGAGCATCAACAAACATGAGATAGCACAAGCACACAACTACCGTTGTGTGACACAGGTCCATACAACCTCGCCCATTTCGAGTCACACACAAATTAGTTAAATCGCTTCTTTGTTTTTTTTTACCGACGTAAACAAGACAATGCAGACTAGAAGAAAGCTTTCATTTACACGAAGTTTTTCACTATTTAAGAACGTACATACAATAATGAGCAATTATTCATTATAACACACAAAGCTACACAGCTATACTCACCCTCACACACAAGCTTGTTGTGTACACACTGAATCTTGAGGAGTATTCGGCCGCGTCGCTCTGTGTGGTCACATCCACACAGGTTCGGTACAGACTCCGTACAGCGCTTGTGTACATTCATGTTGCATGCTGATGAAAAAAATGTCCATTGAAACCATCCTCAAGATTATTTTTATTGGAAACACATGGTCTTATTAGCGTTCATTCAAAAATTTCATTCATTAATGATGTATTTTATACGGCCAATGTTCGTTGAATAAAAACAAAAACAACACAAACATTTAAAAAAACGCAGTTGAGCAATATTCGTACCAGCAGTATTAAATATTGCACAATAAATTAACTGAATTCGACAGCCGTCATTAAATTAATGCGTAAAATAATATATTTAGTTCAGCCTAAGTCGGCATGAGGTTTTTTTATGTACCTCTATAACCGAATAAGTTTCAAGCTATTCAAAATACATTTTCGATGAACGGCACAAAAAATCATTGCACGTACCAGGCAAAGAACGCATGATAGTGAAAAAACATTAGGAAAATGTTAGACAATATGCTAATAAAAACTTCGAATTTACTGGCGCAGTCGACTTAAGCTCAAGGCTATCTTATTACTTTTTATTATAATGTATTATTTTACCGGAGAAGCACACCATATTCATTTCACAGCATCAATTACGCCACAACAACATCATCTGGCCATGATATATAAGGGTACGCGGCAAATTACTTCAATTCAAAGAGAATAGATTGTAAACAAACCTCAAGCAGCCGACCATTGGCGCGGGCAACCACAAATACTGAAGCTTAGCTTTAACTTACCTTAGCAGACGGAAGAAGTGAGCGAGGGGAACAGAATTCCTGCATTTGCCATACCTTCTGCCCTTAAAATTGAGCAGAATTCACCGTAAATTGCGCGAAATTCACCGTAAAATGAACGGAATTCTCTGTATTGACACCACATTACCGGACAAAAGAAAGAAATGCGCGCCGGTTAGCGCTACAGCGCAATTGCAAGGATTAAAATTTTTGTTGGCTGTTAATCCAATCGTCGTGAATTTACCAAATCAAAATTCGAATTTAGATGATTTTCTCAGCCAGAATATAGCCGATGTTGGTCCAGTGTTGGTTTCATCCGAAACTTAATGAAAAAATAAATTTTTAACCTTAGAAGTAATAGTTGGCTTAGTGAAGAATTATTAGACCGAAAATCTTCTAACTAATTGCAATCAATCACACGGGCACTACAAAATCCACACTACTATGCAAATTGAGACTTTTACTAAAAACCAGCATTGAGGATCTCGTTAGGAAATATTAGCGAGATACTGAATGATGAATTACATTACAGTAGGAGTCGATATAGTTAATTAGGAGTCGATATAGTTAAGTAGGAGTAGATATAGTTAAGTAGGAGTAGATACAGTAAAGTAGGAGTATATTTAGTTAAGTAGGAGTAGATATAGCCTACACAGTGATAGACACAACCGGCGCCTTAAAAATTACACGTTAAGAAATTACAATAAAAATAAAAACAAAAAGAAAATTTGGAGACAGTGAACATGAAAATGAACGTGAAAAAAGTATAAAGTGCAAGGGGGATAACCTATCTAGTCTCCGGAGAATGATCTAAGTGGTTCGTTGAAATATTATTAGTGCTATTATTATTATTATTATTAATATTATTATTATTATTATTATTACTGAAATTAAGGGAAGGGGCAGTCTTGACGAACTGAGGGACGAAGCATGCGTTGACATGAGACTGAGAGACGAGGTACGTCAGACTGAGGGACGCGATACGTGAGACTGAGGGACGAGATACGTGAGACTGAGGGACAAGTTAAGTGAGACTGAGGGACGAGTTAAGCTAGACTGAGGGACGAGGTACGCGAGACTGAGGGACGAGGTACGCGAAATTGAGGGACGAAGTACGTGAGACTGAGGGACGAGGTAAGTGAGACTGAGGGACGAGGTACGTGAGACTGAGGGACGAGGTAAGTGAGTAAGTGAGACTGAGGGACGAGGTACGTGCTGTCTCTTATACACATCTAGATGTGTATAAGAGACAGACGTGAGACTGAGGGACGAGGTACGTGAGACTGAGGGACGAGGTACGTGAGACCTGTCTCTTATACACATCTAGATGTGTATAAGAGACAGAGGTACGTGAGACTGAGGGACGAGGTACGTGAGACTGAGGGACGAGGTACGTGCTGTCTCTTATACACATCTAGATGTGTATAAGAGACAGAGGTACGTGAGACTGAGGGACGAGGCACGTGAGACTGAGGGACGAGGTACGTGAGACTCAGGCTGTCTCTTATACACATCTAGATGTGTATAAGAGACAGCTGCAGACACAGAGTGAGATGGTCTGACAGCTGCAGACACAGAGTGAGATGGTCTGATAATGCGGTTCGGGATTCACGGCCCCCGTACTGCGGTTCACGGCCCCCACACTGCGGTTCACGGCCACCGCACTGCGGTTCACGGCTCCCACACTGCGGTTCACGGCCCCCACACTGTGGTTCACGGCCACCGCACTGCGGTTCACGGCCCCCACACTGCGGTTCACGGCCCCCGCAATGCGGTTCACGGCCCCCGCACTGCGGTTAACGGCCCCCATACTGCGGTTCACGGCCACCGCACTGCGGTTCACGGCCCTCACACTGCGGTTCACGGCCCCCACACTTCGGTTCACGGCCCCCGCACTGCGGTTCACGGCCCCCACCCTGCGGTTCATGGCCCCCGCCCTGCGGTTCATGGCCCCCGCCCTGCAGTTCACAGCCCCCGCACTGCGGTTCACGGCCCCCGCACTGCGGTTCACGGCCCCCGCACTGCGGTTCACGGCCCCCGACGCCCTGCGGTTCAAAGCCCCCGCACTGCGGCTCACGGTCCCCGCACTCAGTTCACGGCCCCCACCCTGCGGTTCATGGCCCCCGCCCTGCGGTTCATGGCCCCCGCCCTGCGGTTCAAAGCCCCCGCACTGCGGCTCACGGTCCCCGCACTGCGTTCACGGCCCCGCACTGCGGTTCACGGCCCCAACACTGCGGTTCACGGCCCCCGCACTGCGGCTCACGGCCCCAATACTGCGGTTCACGGCCCCCGCACTGCGGTTCACGGCCCCCGCACTGCGGTTCACGGCCCCCGCACTGCGGTTCACGGCCCCCGCACTGCGATTCACGGCCCCGCACTGCGATTCACGGCCCCGCACTGCGGTTCACGGCCCCAACACTGCGGTTCACGGCCCCCATACTGCGGTTCACGGCCCCCACACTGCGGTTCACGGCCCCCACACTGCGGTTCACGGCCCCGCACTGCGGTTCACGGCCCCCACACTGCGGTTCACGGTCTTCGTCCAATTTCGATCAAAGGCCATTTCATGCACCCGGAAATTGGCTGCCTGTCGTGGCGCGGCCAATTTTCTCGCTCGTTTCCGTGGCGTCGAGCGTCCGAAAATTCGGCAATGCAGCGAAATTGCGGCGAGTGGTAAAAAATTCGCGACAAATTCGTCTTAACAATTCGGTAACATTTTATGGTACATTACTGAAGTTTCGTAACGTGCTAAGCAATTTTTTTTTCGTCGAAAAATGTTGCGAAAATTTAAAGAAATCAACGATTTGATGACAATTTCCAAACAATAGTCCAACTTTGATCGAAAGTTTAAAAATACATTTAATATTAGGATAAAATGCGCAACTAAGATCGATCAATATTTTGTATATAAAATAAAATTTGAACTGAAAAATTCGCAAGAAATTTGCGTAGTCGACCAACCACATTATAATTTTTTTGAGAAAGACAAAAAAGAAAATTGAACAAGGATGATGGAAGACGGCCAAGTTATGCAATCCAAGAAATGAACGGATCATTTTTCGCAGACATTCTACACACAACAGGAGACTAAAGATGACGTGGCACCGATACACACTTTTTCTGGGCAAAACTGGGTCAGGAAGACTAGATTCTTGCAAGTGCAAAAGCGCATCACTATTTGGACAAAGTCTTACTCATTTCTGTGAGTGTAGTCTGGCCTTGATTTCCTTCTCTGGACCCAAGAACAAAATGTCCTGTCAGGTTTTTCTTCCTAGACTTTGACTCAAGTTATCGAGTATCTTTTTCTGTAATACTTGAATCTGACAGTAACGGACCATGTGGCATACCAGCTACTGTGTGGCATAGCCGCTACCATGTGGCATAGCCGCTACTGTGTGGCATAGCCGCTACTGTGTGGCATAGCCGCTACTGTGTGGCATAGCCGCTACTGTGTGGCATAGCCGCTACTGTGTGGCATAGCCACTACTAGTGTGGCATAGCCGCTACTGTGTGGCATAGCCGCTACTGTGTGGCATAGCCACTACTATGTGGCATAGCCGCTACTGTGTGGCATAGCCGCTACTATGTGGCATAGCCACTACTGTGTGGCATAGCCGCTACTGTGTGGCATAGCCGCTACTATGTGGCATAGCCGCTACTATGTGGCATAGCCGCTACTATGTGGCATAGCCGCTACTATGTGGCATAGCCGCTACAGTGTGGCATATAGCCGCAACTATGTGGCATATTCGATACTTTGTGGCATTCCAGCTAATATGCATTTCACCGTCCTAATCTGAACGTCAATAGCCGAAACGTGAGCGTATGAATAAGAACAGTTTATAATTAGTCTGCATTTAAATTTAAGGAGCGTCTAAACGCATTGCACGATAGCGTCACTAGCGGAGCAGCACAAGACGCAGGCAGATTCTTTTACTCAACATTTTGAAGGCTTTACTCACCTCATATTCACGCCAGATGTTGACACACCTTTTCCTCATGACTCCCGCCGGACTTGATCTCATGCTAATGACACACTTTATAGACTCACCTTAGACACTCACCATCCTCTAAGGCTCAAAATAATCACCAGTCATGAAGGTGAGTGAGATTCATCACCCATAACTGCACCTGGTGATGACCCACCTAGTCGCCGACGCTACATAGATTCATCACTGCACAGTCACCCTTTACTCCCCCCTCACATGCCCTCACTCACCCTCACATGCCCTCACTCTCCCTCACATACCCTCACTCCCCCTCACATGCCCTCACTCCCCCTCACATGCCCTCACTCCCCCTCACATGCACTCACTCACCCTCACATGCCCTCACTTCCCTTCACATGCCCTCACTCCCCCTCACATGCCCTCACTCCCCCTCACATGCCCTCACT